TTAAATTATCATTATTTTTTTCTATCATTAATTTGTTATTAATCATTTTTTTGATCTTTTATTATATAATTTGAGGTAACTCTTTTTTTTAATTTACTTCATCCATATTTCATGCAATTTAAACTTAAATTCTCATATTTTTTTATAAAAAAATTATCATTAAATTATTTAAATTATTAATTACCATTAATCAAACTTAAAGAATTGTTGAAAAACCTAATCCAAGAAAAACAAAGTACTTAAACATGTTGCTAATCTTTTGGGTTAATAAGTCAGCCATTACGGATGAAAGAATTCATGTCTTCGTTGTAAATAAGTAAATAGGCATAGATATATGCTCACTAATACAAATGTTATGGTTATTAATAAGAATGTTATGATCATTAAAATTATAAAATATTATTTTAAAAATATTAATTTTATTTAATTTAATTAATAAAATATTAAATAATATTTTTAATTTTAATTAATAAAAAATTAAAAATATTATAATATAAAATAAAAAATTAAAACTTATAAATCTAATAAAATAAAATTTTCAAAATAAATTTTTACCATTTTCAACTAAAACTTGATTTCAAATAAAGTTGAATCCAGCTCACCACAAACGGAAAGAAGAAAACACTGCATTTGTTTTCATTACGATTCACGTGCTAAAGAAAAGTATAATTGGAGTTAAAGCTGTCCCCGAACGTGATAATTGTCCTTGGGTAGGGGGGAGCTGACAGATTTAGACGTGGACTAATTTGAAGAAGTTTACAAAGTAATACAATTTACCAAAAAAAAAAGGACCTGTGCAATGTTTATCACTTTTTACCGTTGAATAAATTTGGAATGGGATTTGGAATCGGATTACACAAATACACATAAACAAGGCAGTCTTTTCAATTATAGGGGGTCGCCTTTGACTGGTTACTTTGCCGTAAGGATAAATAAAAAAATGTCAGACTTATATCAAACACCCTATGCAAGACAGCCCAATTCAAAAGGACATCCTATTGAAGTTCTCAATAAATTGCAGTAATGATGCGACTTTAATATGTTGCACCCCACTTGCTTGAATTTAATGTATTTGAATTTTTTTTATAAATAAGGAATATAAAATTTGATTTCCCCGTCCACGCCCTACTCTGCTAACATGATGGTTTCTTCTAGTAATTTTTGGAAACGAAAA